AATAAAAGATGGATATCAGTAGAAATAATTTTCAAAAAGGTTTATTTCTAATCTATATGCAGGAGGGTTGCCACCTGTTCAAAATATTAGTTTAAGGTGAATTAAAGCACATTGGGTAATGAAATTATATATGGGTGTCAGACGATAGAGGTCTAAGAACGTTTCAGTTTAAAAATATTTTCAAGAGTGCTGCCACGAAATTGAAGGGGAGTTTAGTTCAACCATACACAAGGTGTATGAAATAATACATGGGTGCTAAACTAAAGAGCGTTAAGAAATCTTTAGAATATTTTTCCAATTAATTACTTATATGTTAAATGCATTTTCATTTGTGATTTTTCAGCTAAATAACAGTCTGTTTTTTGGTACTATTTCGATACTTTCGGGGTTCTCGGAAATATATCGGGATTTTTGGGACTATTCGGGATTGTTGGACTATTTCGAGATTTCTTCAGGGTTTTCAGGACTATTCCGTGTTTTTCGAGACTACTTGGAGATTTTCGTGATTCTCGGCTCTAAATCAGGATCTGCGGGAATACTTCAGTATTTCTGGGACTTTTTCCGAGATTTTCGGGCTTCTCGGGAATATATCAGAATTTTTGGAACTGTTTCGGATTTTTCGAGATTACTTCAAGATTTTCGGGACTCTCGTGAATATATCGGGCTGTGCGGGACTACTTCGGAATTTTCGGGCTATTTTGGGAATTTTTGGGACTGCCCGACGTCCTGGTTTTACAGGATTGGTCCTGTTTTCAGACAATGTGTCTCCGAAATTCCGAAGCAGTTCCAAAAATCCAGAAGAAATCCTGATATGGTCCCGAGAACTTCGAAAATCTCGAAGCCGTCTCGAAAAACCAGGAACAGTTCCGAAAACACCGAAATAGGCCCGCAAATACCAAACAAGTCTCGAAAATCCTGAAATAGTCAAAAAATTCCGCAGTAGCAGATCCCGATTTAGAGCCGAGAATTCGGAAAATCCCGTGGAAGTCTCGTAAATCCCGAAGAAGTCTTGAAAATTCCCAGACTCGAAAATCTTGAAATTGTCCAAAAGTCCTGATATAATCCCGAGAACACCGAAAATCCCGAAGTAGTCTCGAAAAACCAGAAATTATCCCAAAAGTTCTGAATTAGTCCCAAAAAATCCGAAGTAGTCCCGCAGATCCCGATTTAGAGAGAGAAGTATTCTCGAAAAACCTGGAATAGTCCTGAAAATCACGAAAAAGTCTCGAAATAGTCCAGCAATCTCGAAATAGTCCCAAAAATCCTGAAAATCTCGAAGTAGTGTCGAAAACCCGAAATAGTCCCTAATAACCCAAAGTAGTCCCGAAAATCCCGATGTAGTACCGAGAACCTCAAAAATCTCTAAGCAGTCTCGAAAAACCCGAAATAGTACCAAAAAATCCGAATTGTTCCCAAAAATTCCGAAGTAGTCCCTTAGATCCCGATATGCGCCCGAGAATACCGAAGTTGTCTCGAAAAACCCGAAGGAGTCCGGAAAATCCCGAAGAATTCTCGGAAATCCCGAAATAATCCAAAAATTCGGAGAGCCCCCGAGAGCAAATCTCGAGAAAGTCTCGCAAAACCCGAAATAGTCCCAACAATACGGAATTAGTCCCAAAATCTCGATATATTCCCGAGAACCCCGAAAATATCGAAATAGTCCCTAAACTTCTGAATTAGTCCCAAAAATCCCGAAGTAGTTACGTCGCCTAATATAATATTATTTAGCTGAAAAGTCACAAATCAAAATGCATTTAACATATAAGTAATTAATTTGAATATTTCCAAACAAGTGGCAATCCTCTTCAAACGCCTCAAAAGGTTTCTTAACGCTCTTTTGTTTAGCATCCATATATTGTTATTTCATACACCTTGTGTATAGTTGAATTAAACTCCACTTCAATTACGTTGCAGCACTCTTAAAAATAGTTTTAAACAGAGACGTTCCTAGACCTCTATCGTTTGACATCCATATATAATTTTATTACCCAATGTGCTTTAATTCACCTTAAACCTGATATTTTGAACAGGTGGCAACCCTCCTGCATATAGATTAAAAAAAAAAACAATTTTGAAAATTATTTCGACTGATATCCATGTTTTATTAGTTTAATTTAATTTGAATTTAACATTTAAAACAGGTGGCAACCGTTTTTAAAAACCACATAAATGGTCTGGATGCTACAGCTCTCAACTCACTTTTGCTTACCACCCATGTTTTAATATTTCACATACTTAAGTAACTTCTGCATAATTTAATTACTTTCAATCTTTAAATTAGGTGACAACCCTTCTTAAAATGTTTCCAAACTAAAACCTCTTTAAACTTCTCCCGCCCGACGACTGTGATAAATACATCACCTATCTAATTTCCATAATTGAAATTGAATTTAATTTTTTTAAACAGGTGGCAGCCCCCTTGTATGAAATAAATAAAAAAATCGCTTGACGTATTATATATGTACATATATAGATAATTAAGTAAGTACATACATACTTATGTTCACACTTACATACATACAATAAATGAACAATTATGTGATATTCAGTATTAATTGAATCATGAATGAATGAGGTTCGAAAGGTTGGCTCACTTAGCTATTGGAGACGCATCTGGTGAACACCCCGAAATGGTAAAGATCCAGAGGTTCATCAATGGAATGTGAGACATGTATACCAAGCGCGAGACGTATGCATATCCGAAGCCAACATTTGCTGAAACGGTCTCGTATGCTCAGACACGTGAAACGGCGGCGCTCCTAAGTAGACCAGCCTGCAAAGCCCATCGAGTAGAAGTGGACACACCTGATGTGATGAACGAGATCCTGAAAACACTCAAGTCGATGGCAGGGAAAAATACTCCTGGTGCAACCGAGAAAAAGGATGGTGCTAGGAAATGTTTTAAGCTCTGAACACATCGAAAACGATATTACCACACGACACGACATTAAGGTTTTATCTATACAATATAAACGCCTTGTCGACAGCGAGATGATATTTTGAACGCGGCAGCGACATCATGAATTTGTTTGAGTTTGACATAAAAGAAGAGGAAGAATCTTATCTGTCGCTAGAAAAATAGAAATAGATCCAATCTGGCCAAAATAATTATCTACATAAGAGTACATGTTAAAATAATTTGACAGCTGTGGTCCGTAGCCCGTCGTTTCCAATGTGTTCCAAGCTTAAGTTGCGGAAAACCAGGCCACTTCGCACGCGAATGTAAGACGGGCTCCAACAGGTCTAACAGTCCAGCAATACGTAAACTCAGGGCTGAGGAAGACGAATCTAACTCCAGTTAGTCGTTAAACTAAAACGAGCCAGCAGGAAGGGCCCATAATCTCCGTCTCACAAATTGGCCGGAATGCGAGTAACCTCACTATTGGTGGATGTGTGAATGGGCAGGAGCGAGTGCTGACAGTGGATACTGGACCCTCATATTCTATTATTCGACCTGATGTGGCTACTTTTTATGTGAAGCCACTACCTGGAGCAAAGCTGCAGACTGCAACTGGTGAGCGAACCCAAGTGTTAGGAGAAGTACTATGCGAGGTAATAATCATCGGGCTGGCCTCATACACGAAGTTTATTGTGGCAGAAATTGTGGATGAAGTCAACATCGGCGTGGATTTCCTACTTGGGCAAGGTATGAAGATTGACCTCCAGGGAATGATCCTAACCTATGGCGACAGGAAAGTGCCACTTAGGGTTGGTTACGACAACCAGTGCTGCAGCAGGCGGCTGGTCTTAGAGGAAGTGCCGAAGATTCCACCAGAAACGGAAGTAGTTAGTAGAGGTTGACAGTGATGGAGACGAGATGATTTCGTCAGGAGAAGGAAGTGGTTCACCGCTACAGCAAAAGCGCGACGGTTCCGCCAGCTCAGTGAAGAAGAGGTCGCAACTAGGAAGTGGTGGTGGAAGATGAAAAGGATGCCCACGAGAAGAGACATGGTCTGGCCACCACCAGTGGCCGGCAGAAGCACGACCATGTGAGATGGTGCACTCCCGGAGATAAGCCGGAAGCAATGTTCAGTAACGCATTGTGGTTGTACATGTCGCAGCAGAAGTAAAGCTTCACCTCCAAGCAAAGACGTGCATGGAAAGATCCGTTTAAGATTGACAAACGGCTGAAGGACGCAGTGCATCGAATCCAGACAATGGGGAGACCGAGTACCAAGATGAAAGTGGCCCACTTGGAAAGACTTGCGGAGGTTGGAGCGGCAGGTATGTCTGATCGGGACGATCAGAATTATGTGGAGCGCAGTGTTGCGAATACTGCGGCAACGCGAAGCGAACAACGAAAAATAGGCATAATGTTCGAGGAATGACGCAGAATGTTCCACAAAGAGAAACGTCAAGTTGAATGAACACTGCGAACAGCGAGAGAAAGACAATGAGCGATGAACTTCAGAACATTTTAGAGTTGCCATGAGTGCTAGCGCAGGTATATAAGAGCCACGACACAGCGGAGTTGGGGAGTTACAAGTCAGCAAGCTACAATTACAGCGATCAGAGAAGTGAGCTGCGAATAAGCAAGCTATAAGTTTAATTGTGTTAACAAGTTTAGTAAAGCGTTGTTATTGCTTTAACGTGTATTGTAAAGTGTTTTTACTGTATTAGCGAGTATTGTAAATTGTTTGTTGTACAATAAAGTTAATTGTACTACAATTTCATCGTTAGCATTTATTTAACAATCCAGCGATACGAGCCGTAGGATATTTGGGCAACGCCTCAATGTTTCAAGGCTAATTGCAACAATATGAAATCAATGCTTTGCAGCGTTGCCACAGACAAATTTTTTTTCCTACCAAAATTTCCTACCATAACCAACCAAAACCTACATAACATTTTTGTGAGTTTTAATTATTTTTTTTTCAATGTAAAATTTTTTTAAAACATAGTTAACATAAACTAGTAAAACTAAAACACAACTATATTAATAAAAACAAATTAACTGCGTATAACGATTAATTTTACTGTACAGACTTATCCATATGTACATAGCCTGATGCGTTGTTGATCGTAGGCCGGCATCTAACTTGTCCAGGGCCGCCTTTGCTTCAGCTACCAGTCGCCGCAGTTTCTGTTGGCGTTGTTGAGCCGACCGGCTCTTCAGTGCCCGCGTGCGGCTTTGACTTCGCCGCGCCTCTGAGTGCCGAGCCCGGTGTAGAAGCGTGTGATGACCCAGCGAGCATCGACGGCAGCTGGACGCGGAGTCACACGCCCCCGTGGTGTGAGAAACGGCGAGACAATTAATGCAGTACCGATGAGTCCGGGCGCACTCGTACCTCTCCTCCGGCTTCATCGCTAAGAACGCTCGGCACTGCCTCAGCACATGACGTTGACCACACAGATGGCACTTCTGTGGCTCTGGCTTTTTGCGGGTTCTGTAAGGACAGAAATAGATAGAAAGGACGATTGGATCAAGTATTTACAAAAAATGGGTGAGAAGAAAATACGTTGATAAAGGGTAGCTGGTATGTTTTTATACATACGGCTAGAGGGTAAATAATAATGGGATACAAACGATAGAGTATGACGGGTAAGCATCGCGTTAGGCAGTTGGTGACACACACAGTTTCGTAATGTTTCGGGTAACGGTTCCATTTTGAGTTTTTATTTCTACAACACGAACGTTTTTATCCGGACCAGGATGCAATTTGATTACACGCCCAAAGCGCCACTCATTGGGGGGTAATAAATCGTCTTTTATTACCACTAGATCACCTTCTTCGATATTCTGCTGTGGGCGCTTCCATTTGTAGCGTTTATGCAGCTCCTTGAGGTACTCGTTCTTCCATCGGATGCTAAATTAGTGATGCAATACCTTAAGTCTTTGCCATTTGTTGATCAAGGAAGGATGTTCAACGTTTTGTTCGGGTAGTGATAGGAGTGGTGTTTCGCGTAAGAAATGTCCTGGAGTTAACACAAGGGGGTCTTGCGGATCTTCTGACATAGGGGAGAGCGGTCTGGAATTAAGGACCGCCTCTATCCGAACCAGAAGAGTAGCGAGTTCCTCAAACGAGAATTTTTGACCAACCCGCTACTTTTGTAAAATGTATTTTAAAACTCTTCACGGCGGCTTCCCATAGACCTCCCATGTTTACTAAGAACGGGGCAGCGAAATCGACTCCTGTTGTGTGGAAGGGCAAGGAGTATGTTGATCTCTCGGGTGGCAAGGCTTCCATTACCTGCGACCTCATCTGCTGTTTATAGATGGTGCAAGTTTTGCAATGAAATATACACTTTTTTACTTTCTGCTTTAAACGAGGGATTTACCATCCAGACCATCAGCTGTTTCTCCGCATGTAGTAGGGTCGAATAGAGAAAATCTAAAATAAGAAAGCAAAAACGAGAGTTTTCGGGTATAATAATTGGGTGCTGTTCAATGTAGCTGAGGGCGGCACTGGAAAGTCGACCATTTACTCTCATTATTCCTGCTTTGTCCAACATTGGGTTTAATGTCAAAAGGGGGCTCTTTCTGCTGATTCGCTTCGAATCTTCCAGCGGAGCTATTATATCCCCATAATGTCTTCGTTGGGTTTGGATGATGAGTTTGGCTTTTGCATCATTCACCTCCTCTTGGGTTAGGGTAACTGTGGCTGGGATTAATTGTTTTCGTGCCTTCCGAATAAAACGAAACATGTAGGCGACGGTCCTGAGCGCACGAGAACCGTTCGAGTATATCCATATCCTTATCTTCCAAGGTGTGAAATACCTCTACGCGTCGCTGTTCCGGGGGCTGGAAGGTGTGGCACAGCTTTAGTTGGGTCCTTCCCACCATAGTGGACATTCCACTAAGTCCTGTGGTTTGCAGCCTCGAGTGCCCAAATCCGCTGGATTGTCATTGCTGGCAACGTGTCGCCAAATCGCATTGCTCACGTTTTCAAGAATTTGTGACGTTTGATTGGCTACATAAGTTTTCCAAGTATGTGGAGGTTTTTCTAGCCCAATCAGTTCCCTCCATCCAGAGTTGCTGTAACAGCATTTTTGCAAGGATCATTTTTGGCGTTAGCCATCCTGCGGGATCGAACAATTTTGCTACTGCCATATCTGCCTTTTTGTGCTTGAGTGTGCTGCTAAAAGTGGGTCGTAAGTATATTTGAAAGGGTCTGTTAGAGCATTCCATTGGATTCCGAGCGTTTTTGTGGAGCTTGCATCTTGGAATTTGAGAAAATCGACATCTAATAGATCTGAGTCGTGAATTGGCTCCAGAATTTCCGGGTGGTTTGCCGACATTTTTCTCAAAGGGAATCCTGCTGATTTCAGGGCTTCGGTAACTTGGGTCATCGCGTTTAGAGTGGACTGTATATCGTGACCACCTGATAGAATATCATCAACATACGTCTCATGTTAAAGTATGTTTTTTGCGAGCGGATATTCACTTTGGCAGTCTGCAGCGAGTTGGTGTAGGGTTCTTATTGCCAAATATGGTGCACAATTAACACCAAATGTGACTGTCTTCAGTCGAAAATCTTCTATTGGCATATTACGGTCTTTACGAAAGCCGATTCGCTGGAAAGCTTGGTCTTCTTTGTGAACTAGTATTTGGCGATACATTTTCTCTATGTCGCCGCTGAATACGAACCTATATAGTCGCCATTTCAGAATAACGAGCATTAGGTCGCTTTGTAGTATGGGGCCTGTGTGGAGAATGTCGTTCAATGAGTTGCCCGAATGAGATAATTTGGAGGCGTTGAAGACAACTCGCACCTTTGTGGTTTTGCTGTCTGGTTTTATGACAGCCTGATGGGGTAAGTAACAGGAAAATTTTTTTCCGCTTTTTACTATTTCTTGACGGGAGGCGGGTTCCATGTGATCCATGGTCAAGTCTTCATTTAGGACTTCAAAATATTTATCTCGTAGTTCATGTTTCCTTTCTAGGGTCCGCTCGATGCTGATGTACTGCTGCTGTGCTGCTGGTCGGGAGCGACCGAGTGCCATGTGTTCCGGGAATTCCGCTTTGAATGGCAATTTTACTATATAACGTCCATCTTCTTGGCGGATGGTGGTTGTCCTGTATATCGTTTCGCAGTATTCGTCATCTGCTGATCGTGGCTGGGTGGGACGCACTTCTTCGTGTTCCCAAAATGTTCTTAAAAGTTGATTGAGGGGGTCATCGGAGCATTCCGTGACGTGAGTACTGAACGTTGCGACTTTTTCAGCTACTGGACCGCTCAATATCCATCCGAAGATCGTGTTTTGGGCGAGCAATGTTCCACTTACATTATGTTGCAGTGCTTCGGTAAGACTTTTCGGGATGATATCGCTGCCTATTACCACATCGGTTTTAGATGGTGTCAAACAATGAGGGTCAGGCAATGTTAAATCCGCCAATTCTCCGAGATCGATACTTGATACTTTGGCTGTGGGCAAGAAGTGAGTAAGTTTTGGCAGTATTATTGCTTGTGCGTCTACTTTTAGGGCTTGATCTGATGAAAAAAATGTTATTTCGCAGATCTCATTTGAGTTTCTTACCACCATTCCACCCATTCCGGATATTTGGTGTAGAGACTTTCTTTTGGGTAGGCCAAGGAGCTTTTGTATACGAGATGATACAAAAGTTTTTTGGGAACCTTGGTATATTAGGGCACGAATTTTATGGAATTCGCCAGCAAAGTATATGGGGACTATTGCTGTTGGTAGTAGGGTGGTTCCTTTGTCACTTGAAAAATGAGTGGGAACCTTGTTTGTGTCCTGTGCGGGACTTGCGGCTGACGATGCCCTTGCGGCGGCTTTCGATGATGAGGGCCGCTCGCTGTCCGTTGTGCTACGGGTGTCGGCTTGTGACCTGGGCTGCGTATGCAGTAAAGAGTGATGTCTCTTTTGGCAATAGACGTACGTGAAACTGCTCTGACACTCATTCTTGAGATGTGAAAAGGAAAGACAATTTTCGCAATAATTGTTTTCTCTCACAAATTTTAGGCGGTCTGATACTGAAAGATTTTTAAACCTGACGCAAGATTTCATCGCGTGGTTTTGATTACATAATCTACAAGAGACGGTTTGTTAAACTCCGCATGATATGCATGAGTTCTATTTTTATTGAGTGGGGTCGAGTTATGATTCACCGTTCTTGGTGTAAAACTCGAAAATTGGGGTTTTGCCTTGCCTGGTGCTTTCTCTTTCTACTACCTCGTATCTGCTGGTCAGGAATCTGTTCTCCTCTGCCCAAAGCGGTAATTCTTCCGGGAGCTGAGGGACTGTTCCCATAGTGAAAGGCTTTCACTTGGCAGTTTGGATGAACACAGGTATACCAGGATTGGGTCCCAGTCCGTTGTTGGGATTCTTTGTGTTGCCAGGATTGACATGCAATTGTTGATTGTGGTCTGCATATTCTGTAGTTGTTCTCCGCTTTCTGTGTATATTGTAGGCAGGTTTAATAGGGTTTTCAGCTCGTTGTCGACCAGTATCCTACGATTTTCGTACCGTGATCTCAACGCTGCCCAGGCAAGCTCGAAATTTTCATTGCTCAATGGATATTGCTTTACCATGAGCCCCGCTTGTCCCTTTGTTTTTAGGCGTAGGTGGTAAAGTTTTTGAACAGGTGTTAGTTTTGGGTGGTTTTTATAGACTGCCGTAAACATGTCTCTGAATGCTGGGCGGGGGAATTAATTAAAAACTTTGATAGAATTAAAAAATATATATTTTGATATATTTATAATTGTTCGCTGGGTTGTTTTATTTCGGGTCCCGCTGTTTTGCTTGCTGGGATAATATGCACTTGTCTCAGTAAGTCTAAGTACAAGCTGTAATATGTATATACGCGTGTTTATTCTAACTATGTACGTTAATGAGCGTGTATATTTGTTGTTTGTTCTTGAGTGAGCAAATCGAAACCTAAACTATTTGCCGGTAATAACTGTGGTGTACCAATGCCTTTTCGATCGCTGTGCTAATATGTATGCACTTGTCTATATATAACAAAGGCCCCTATTGCGAGTGTCGACTGGCAGTAGAATAGAAATTTGTCGATCGAGTCGATCATCTTTTATTTTGTTATTGTGTAACTTGATCGATAAAAAGTTGTACTATTGTGAATGGTGACGGAATTGTAAACAGCTGTTTGTTTGTTTCTTTAATGTTTCATTTACATCATTTTTAAAATAATTGCTTTTATTATAAAATTTAAAAAATGGACACAGTTGAAATATGGTTTAGTGATGAGGAAGATGATGTGGAAGCTAATAGATTAGTAGAGTTGGCTAAAGCAAGGAGGGAATTGCGAGATTCGTCGGATCCCATGGAGTTGGAAGATGAAGTGTATGTACATATGTGAATTTTATGAATAGAAGTTGCGTTCCCGATGCTTCAAGGTTTTTAGGTTTTACCGGATTTGCAGGAAAAGCTGTTTTCCTCATTAATAAATTTTATGGAAGTTTAAGAAATACGGTACCGTTTAGTTATTTGTACAATGATGTTGAGTATTTGTGTCCAAACGCGTGACCCGACTTTTAAAACTTTAACATACAAGTGTAGTGAAAGAATTAAACTTTAATTTAACATAAAGATTTGAAGTTTCCGAGCATTAGTTAATTAATAAATTATGCAGGTTTTTGTAAACTTTGATGTTGGTTCTGCGCAAAAGCACTGTGGATGGCGTAGCCGGAATTATATGCACGAGAAATATTGTATATCTTTCACAAAAGAAGCGGAGCTTCTTCTCCTGCTCTTTACGGAAATTCCTTTGCCTCCTCACTCTCCTGCATCAGCTCGACCAACCGCGCAAGTTGCCTTTTGTTGCTTACAATTTTGTATCTGTAATTCAGACACATATGTACATACATATGTATATTTCACAATTTTTTACAACTTCCAATTCAATTGACTTACCTACTTGTTATCCATTATAGTACCACTTTCTTATGTAAATTTTATAAACGCAAACTCCAACGACTAAAAAACAGCAATAGAAGGATGAGCGATTAAAAAGTATTCACAGTCGCTAATTGAGCGACTTAGCGACACTCACAATAGCATCGATAATCGATAATCGCTTAATAGTCGTTTATCTACTGCCAGTCGACACCCGGAATAGGGGTGAAAGTCATGGTGTAATGAACTGAAGGTGGCACATTCCCGAAACCGCTACTTTAGTTTTGCCGACTTTGACGTTTATGGCAATACGTAAACAAACTTTTTGTTTATAAATAAGTGCAAACGTATTGTGTAGTTTCAAGTGAAAAATCGAAGTAATTCGTGCGTTCTGAAGTAAAAAACGTTTTATTTGTAATAAAAACTTTATAAAAATGTCGTGTCGTGTGTTTAATTGCAGCAGCCGTAGGGGTAAAGCCCCCAAATGCAGTTTTTTTTTGTTTCCCGGCGGCGACGCCTTGGCCAGAAAGTGGATAGCGTTCTGCCGGCAGGAGAAGCCCTACAATTTACACACCAGCGTATTATGCATGAAGCACTTTACGGACCACTTTTAAACGCGACATGTTAAGTTGAAAACGTTAAAATACCACAAATTACAAATTAAAATCGGAGATAAGCAAGCATCAACCACATTCTGCAGGAAAACATGTTCTGCGACAAGATATTATCACTTTTTCGGTACCTGCAATACAAACACAAAAATTCTAAATAGTTAATTAATAAGACCTATTCTTTTGAACACATTTCAAGAGTGGTTGTATATTTTTTGTTAACGTTGTGCTTAATTTGCTATATTCAAAGATGGCTTGAGAAATTGGTGAATCGTGAAAAAAACACGTTTTCTCACTGCAAATTCACAACTGTCAACTCATTGTTCATCACCATATTCTTTGTTTACCCGTTGCCACAAATGTCATTCTGCGGGAATGCGCAATCTTGTATTCTATCGTTCTTGATAACAAAGTATATGTATGTATGTAAATATGTCGACGGTGATGACGTGATGTTGTTTTCCTCAATTCGCTGCTGTGATGTGCACACTTAAAGCGCAGTTACCCACGGACGTAAAAACGGAGAACGTGTCAGTTGACACGATCTATTTTATGACATCTGCGTGTTAACAAAAACTCACCACCGCATGACCGTGACGTAGACGTAGCATCTCTCTCTTTCTATCAACAGCAAACTTGGTATGTTTCTACGTACTTCTACGCTACGCTACGTACACGTTCGTGGGTAACCGCGCTATTAGGTTGCAAACAGAGTGGAAGCGAAGCCGAAGACGAAGATGAAGACGAAGCCGAAGACGAAAAACAGTGCAGTAGTAAACATATGAAAGTGATCACAGTGCAAGCAAAGACGAAGACGAAGATGAAGACGCTGCGCAAGCGGTCAGCTTGAAACAGCGTGGTACTGTTTTCAAAGACGAATCGCTTGCTGTGATGAATTGTTTACAATTTATTTAACTGTTTGCAATTGTGAAAAAACGCGTTTATCAAGAAATTGGCTAAATTTTTGGCAAAATGTAATCAAACGTATTAATTGGCATTCTTGTATATTCGAAAAATGTCTGTCCGTATTGCCGTAACACATAATACAAGTGGCGAAATTCTCCAAAAGTTCAAATTATTTCATGAATTGCTGTTTTTTCTTTATTTTCTTTTGATTTTATCTAAAAAAAAGGGTTTTTATTTAGAAACAAATCTTCATATCATTCATCCTCCACTATGTACACTCGCCAGCTTGCCCGCAACGCATGCAATTCGTCTTCGGCTTCGTTTCCACTCTGTTTGCAACCTTTCTTTGTTAGGGTGGGTTTTGCTAGCGTAATCTACTCGCCAAGTGCGTTGGATTGCGGGCAATATTGTTTTTGGTATGTATTATTGCGAATACATATATGTATGTATGTTATAAATAGGCAGTGGTAAATCTGATGCTGGAGATTTCGAAGTTCCGTAATTATAAGAGCAACGAATTTAACATATGTTATATACATACATATATATATATGCTTATATTGGCAACAGGTGGTTGCTGAGCATCGAATTTATTATTTTTTGGGTACACTTATGTATTTTGAGATAGCGGTGAGCACATAAACTGGGCAACGGGTTATTCGTTAGAAGGAACAAAGAAATATGTAGCTAATTTTCTTCACCGTTTTTTTGCAATGATTTTTGCGAAAGAATAAAAACGCTTGTATGTAAAGGAAATGTACTTGACAACGAATTTCTTTGTCTTGGGTTTCCTGGTAGATACGTGCATGCGTATAAAGAAAGGGTGCAAAATTAACGATTTTCTCTACATAAATCTTTGTACAGTTGTGAACTACAATTATTAGCTATAACGGGGTCCGTATTTTCTGATCGGAGGGTAATATACATATGCATATACAATTTAGTATATGTATTTTCATTATGTACATGTGGGTATTACTCACTCAGACATTAGTGTACTTGCTTCTTGTTGGCTTAATTGTTGTTCCGGACTTTGTTGTTGGTGTTGAGCCGTTTTAGTTCCTGTTGCTACTCTTGATGTTTCGTTGTCTTTCTCCTCCTTTCGTTGTGTGTTCGTAGAATTCCTCGGTCTTTTGTTTTAATTTAAAATAATTTTTATTTATTTTAGTTTTTTTTCTTCAAATACATGGTCGTGTATGTATGAGTTTTACACTTTCCAGATGTGTATACTTTTTGTTTGTTTAATGTTCTTTAATTTGTGTTACTATGTATTTTGGAAATTTTGTAACCGTGTCTATTTTCGTTTGCTAAACGTTTTTTTTTTGTACCCTTTGTTACGTCACCCGTATATGTATGCCCTTATTAAATGGATAATGCACTACATTAATTTATATTTGTATGTATGTTTAAATTTGATTTGGTGTTTTTTTCCGTAACTTTAGGATTTTTAATTATTTTTATACCCGAGCGCACCTGTGCACAAGGGTATTATAACTTTGTTCACATAACGGTTGTTTGTAACAGGCAAAACGAATCGAGATAGATATAGACAAATGTATACATAAATGATCGGAATGAAAAGAGAAATCGATTAAGCGGTGACTGTCTGTCCGTCCGTCCGTCCGTCTGTGCACAAGATAACTCGAGTAAAAATCAAGATATCTTAACGAAACTTGATACGTGTACTTCTTTCGGGCGTAGGACGGTTGGTATTGAAAATGGGAAAAATCGGACAATAACCACGCCTACCTCCCACATAACGGTAATTTTCAGAAATACGAAAACTGCGATATTTTAGTAACTACTGAAGATTATTCACTCAAAATTGATATTTACAATAATTTTTAGAAGGAAAATAAGAATGTTATAATTTTTTGGAAAATGGGCGTAGCCACGCCCACTTATGGTTACAGGTGTATATCTTGGTAACCGCTGCCCCAATTTCTTCCAAACTTGGCACACTTATTGGCCTTGGTATGACATACGAAAAGGGCGAAAATTTTTAAAATCGGTCAATAACCACGCCCACGTCCCATACAACGGTAATTTAGAGAAATACGAAATCTTCGATATATCAGTAAATATTAAAGTTAATTTATTCAAAATTGATGCTTGCAACAATTCTTTACCAGGAAATACGTTTATGATAAAATTTTGGAAAATGGGCGAGGCACCGCCCACTTATAATCACATATATGTATCTCGGTAACCGTTCTACCAATTTGTACCAAACTCGGTGTGTTTATTATACTTACCACATAGAAGAAAAACGTTGAAAATTATTGAAATCGGACTAAAATTACGGCCGCTTTTCATATAACGGTAAATTTCAGAAATGCTTGAAACTTCATTATTTCAAAATTGAAGGACGCTAATTTACTCAAAATTGATACACCCCGGCTTACCATCTAGCTGTAGCTTTCGGAAAGGTGAAAAACATATATTTAATACTTGCGCCGGGTATTTAATGTTCGGCTCCGCCCGAACTTAGACTTTCTTACTTGTTTTGTTTTGTACGCCGGTATGTGCACTGCACCATGTTTTGGGGTTAGCTTCTCCGCTTAAATAACAACACTGGTTTTAATGGTTGCACTAACTGCAAATTCGATTTTTATAATTTTTTGTATGGTACAAAATACAATAGCGGGGTTTGGTTTGAATACGAACTATAGAAGAAAAGAGAATTCGCGAGCGGGCTTCCGAAAACGTACGCGGCGGCGGGTGTTCTTCGACTGTGTCGATGTTGCTGTGTGTGCGGCGACGTTGCCTTTCGATAAGGCAGTCGTGTGGTCCTTTGGCCACACTGACACGGCGTTGCCAGAGCGCCGCGTTGACGGAGGTGGAGACTTACTCCGAAAACTCGATCATGTTCTCAACTCCTCATAAAACTGTATTTTTTTCATCTAATTTTACATTTTAATTTCTTCTTTTTTTTCTACATTTATTAATTTTTTTATTTAATTATTATCATTTTATAATATTTTTTGTTCTAAGTCAATCTAATAATTTTTTTTTGCTTGTATAGGCTTTGGTGCTAGTGCAAGTGAAAACACAGTTTCCTTCACTTTATGCCCGACGTTTCGCTAACTTCCTTAGCTTCTTCAGTGGCGCAAATCTTTATTGAAAAACAACAAAAACATTCATACAATTTCAATTATACATTATTAAAGCAAATAAAAACACATTTATGTGAAACACAAAAACTAACAAAATTACATTCACAAATATATAGGCTAATAAAAAGCTTAACTAAGCATCGGTACCAGCACTTGTCGAACTGATTGTGTTTTGTAAACAGAGTAAGTAGCTAGCCGCAATGTCGTTCGGGTCTTCTTTTTTGTTGACTGCCCTCTCTCTATTTTGCATTATGCGGAGGCTCTCTAACGTATACCTTATTCTTTCTCTCTTTTCTATGTCAAGTATCTTTGTGTCAGCTGTGTGACCGCTCGTTATTACATGTTGTGCTAGTGCTGTATTGTTTTTCCTTTTCCTTATGTACGCATCGTGCTCTGATAATCGTGTGCCATTTGAGCCTTTTTCCGGCTAGATTTAGCCGGTTTCGATAGCTAACAGCCGGAGAAATTTTAATTTAGCCGGCAGCCGATTTGTTAGCCGTTTTGCAGAAAAAAATTAGCCGTTTTTAGCCGATTTCGCTATTTGCCTTGTTTTCTTAAGTTTCAAATATGTGTTTCCATTTTTGACTAAGCGACCCAAAATCTGTTAGAAATGGCTACTAGCCTTATCGTGGAGAAAATTTTCATGTCCGGCAGGGCTGTATGAAATTGGGCCGATTTCGCTTATTTTTATTATAAACGAAGAAGTGATTTTCTTCATAAAATATTTGTTATAAATGTCTTAATTTTAAGGGTGAAGTTTTATTCGTTAACTTAGAAAATAAGAAATCGTTTCATTGTTAAAACACTTAAGATGCGTTTGTGTTTGGATATAGTGCCAACAAACAGAATAAATATTACATGTAGATATTGTCTTCCCAGATAGCGCATATCCAATTCTGCCTAAATTACAAAACATCATTTTTGCCCACTCCCAAAGGTTTAAGGTAAGGGAAAAATTGATATTTTCAAGCACTATGTACTCATATATATTTTTTTAACAAACTTTTTCCAAAAACCGAATGCCAACTTGAATTAAAGGAACCAACACTGAAGTGAGTTGTTTTACTGCCTTAAAATTGAAGGGACATTTTTACAGCGTTTTTTATGTGTATTGGTTTCTATTTGAGTGTATTGAGAATCGGTCAGTCTGAAAAGGCCTTGTAGTGAAGATAATAGGTTTGTTCGTCGAAAATCAAGCGAGAATTATCACTCAAACTATCAGATAGTAAGAAAAATGGTCCCAAATTCTCTCTCATGTAGAGAAACTTGCAATTTTCTGTACGAACGCCAAATTGTAAGTTTTTCTGCCAGCTAGTGTCCACGGTTGCATTTCAAACAAAAGGAATTTGTATACAATTTTTAAAATTCTTTCAGAGGGGCAAAAACAGGATCTACGTGTATATATCTTGTCAGTCCGACTTTCTTCAACATACGTTTCAATTTCTTTGTCACGTTTACTATATCGACTCCGGTTGAGATTGCATTCCGATTAAGAATACAGTTTTTTTGGCCGAGTACCTTTCAAATCATTGGAATTAACTAAATTAATTAAGTAAGCAAGTATTAACTTACATTTTTCATTTTAAAATCGCTCCAGTTTTTAAATTTAACGAACTTGTTTATTCACATTAACGTCGACAAAAAATCCAACCATGTGCCACAATCATATGTTTTTCCTAATTGCAAATTCTTCCTGGCGAAATTTTTTCCGGCTCGAATTTGTAACTTCACTCCAAGAAATAGTCTTTTTACTCGTGATTTATTTAAATAAAACATGTGAAATTAAGTTGAAATATTTTAGCCGTTTTTATCCGGTTTTATTTGCCAATTTAGCCGGTTCGTCCAAAAAGTTCTGGCAACACTGGTGCCTAGTGATCGTTTTGTTGTACCTATGTAGACTAGGTTGCAGTCCTCGTTTTGTTTACCTTTGCATTTAATCTCTTATACCATAATTCAATAATACAAGGTTCGATAAACTGACAGTTGTCTCTCTCGCACCGCTCCCTTAGCAGTGGCACAGTGTTGCTTCTTTGCACATTTACATGGAAACAGTGTAGCTTTGGTGTGAAATAGAAGTATGAGCGTTTGTGGAATATGTTTATTTGTATATGTATATGAAGCATGTTTAACTGATGAAAACATAAACTGTTTTTAAATTGGATGTTTACATCAATCTCATAGTAGTCTTATTTTAATTTTAAGTCATTTTGCAGTTTTTATACAGCTAAATAGCCCATAAATTACGTAATTCACATAGATATATCAATATTACGTTCAAAATTTCGTTTAAAATGCCAGATTTCCTGGAAATACATTAGAATTTACAAAAGGAATATCACTACTAATTGCCTACTTTGCGTACTTTTCTAGTACCATTTTCGCACCAAGAGATTTCATCCTTCCCTTTTCTCCGTCCTTCGTAAATGCAACCTTTTGTCAAACCGCAGCTGTCAATAATTATTTAATGCAGCGTTTTTGCTGCATTTAAAATGCAGCATTTAGCACTTTCGAACATATGTTTTCGAAGAGCGTTCATGCTATAGCATTTAGCAAATGTACATTTACGCGAGTTCGAAATCGTATGCTTTTGACAAACAGCCGTGTTCCAGTCTCTTATTTAGATGCGTATATATTACGATCAATTCTCACGCAGAAGATAATGTGCAAAATCCCTACTGAAAAGGAGAAAATAAATTTTAAACCAAAAATTCAATACAAAAACTTGAATTGTTTTAACCATAACCGAACATTTGTTTGTGTATATATTCATTTGTCGGTGCTGTCAATTAAAATTTCCTCACTTAATTAGGAAACAAACCAAACAGAGTTGATCACAAATTGATCCAGATTTCTATCAGCATCAAATCGATGTTAAATTTGCTTAACTTTTCTTTATCCAAATATGTAATGCAAAATAAAAGAATACTCGATCGGCGATCACTGAAACGCAGCTAGCAACTGTATACTCGAAAAAGCAATGTTGCCACTTTTTCTCTTTAAACCATGTTCGAATCGTGGAAATTTTGGAAGATCACTGGGTTGCTTTTAGCATTTAGATTCTTAATGCAAAAATGGAGTTGCATTTAGTTGCATTTAGGTGACGAATTTTGTATGGATAAATGTACATTTAGAGTAGCATTTAGAGCTAAATGCGCTAAATGTGCTTTT